ATGATTTCAAAGAAGGACAGGTCATGGGAATGACTTGATGATTTCAAAGAAGGACAGGTCATGGGAAAGATTTGATGATTTCAAAGAAGGACAGGTCATGGGAATGACTTGATGATTTCAAAGAAGGACAGGTCATGGGAATGACTTGATGATTTCAAAGAAGGATAGGTCATGAGAATGACTTGATTATTTCAAAGAAGGACAGGTCATGGGAATGACTTAATGATTTCAAGTCATAAGTGATAGATCAACATAAATATACTTCCCGCCCTTGATGACTTCCTCACAAGGCCGGTAAGTGGAGGACTTCTTGATGGGTATATCCCTACACCCGGCCCGGACAACCGAAAGGGATAGGTCAAAATATGACCGGTCACTTTCATTAATCACCAAATGAGGTTAACTCTTCGATTGAGACAGGTCAAAAGTTGACCGGTCACTTTCCTTGAGAAAGTGACCGGTCACATTTTGGGCGAAAGCCAAAATATCACCTTATATTACGAAGGATCTTCCGGAAGACCAGAGACGGGTTGAGCGCAAAGAATGACCGGGTAACCTTTGAGAGAAGGTGACCGGTCATGTCACTTTACTTTGCAAACATTGGTCCAGTATCTCAGGCATGGTGAACCACGTCAAAGATCGAGGGACCACCCCGCCGTTCGTCCATCACGAGGCAAACAGTGAAAGGAATGTTTGTCATTTTGCAGGGCTGATTGGATTGAGAATATCCATTTATAGTCTTTGATTGAACAGTACATGTCTTGTCTTATAGTTGCTAAATTCATTGATTGAATAGTAGATTGATTATGTACAGTGACCTTCCTCCGGGTTTCCTATTTTGTCCATGGATGAACAGGGGAAGGTCACAAATCCTCCTCTATAAATATGATATTGGATAGAGGAGGGGATCCAATTTTTCTCTCACTAAAGTTCACTCTGGAGATAGAGTAAGAAATATAATTCGGACTGAGGAGATTTACCCGGTCTAGGTCATACTTTGTGTTCTTGTTGTGTGTTTTATATTACGGGTCGAGTGTGTCCAGGTCAAACCCGGTTAACCCACCCCGCTATATTTACACCATCATTTTTGGCGCCACCCGTGGGACCGATTTTTAAAGTTTTTTCGACCAGGTCAAAACTTTACCCCACTAAATATCCACAATCATGTCTTCAAGCAACCACAACATTGTTTCAAGCCAGGCTGCGAGTGAAAGCACTCCTGCCATCCCACTGATGATAACGAGCATGGGGACGACCTTTGCCCCAATCACCACGGTAGGATCAATTTGCATTATCCCAATCATGTCAACCCCTACTCCTACGCCAACGACGACAATGTTCCCAGGCTCAATAACAACGCCTGGGGGGGAATTCACGCCATATCCCTTAAGCTTGGCTCAATTTGCCGCTGACCCGGCAAATGCTCAAGCTCTGCAGGGCTATCAACAGGTGATAGCCATGATGCAACAGGCAGGGGGCTTCATGCCATTTGCTTATCCTGGCATGATGCCACCAATTATGCCACCCGAGTGTCGACCCCATCGACATTTGTCCCTAGGATGGTTCCTATACGCCTGGTGAATTTTACAGGAAACATGAATGAGGCAGTGCCCTCAAATGTCCATGAAGTCGACGAGGCGGAACAGGAGGCAGCCCGCAAAAGGAAGGGTAAGGTTATAGCCAAACCCAGCAAGACCCGAGATTCGGCGTTCAAACGCCTAGGGGACAAAGAGGATGGACCCCGCAAGTCTGCCAAGCTACGTCTTGGTCCTGAGATGGGCCGGACTAGCGCAATGGAAAGACTTGGCGGGAGTCGTCCTGCCCAATCTCGTCGTTCTAGGGAATCTAAGACGATTCACCTAGATGAGGAGGAAGCTGAAAGCCAGCCCAGAGCATCGGCATATACCAGGCTCTCATACGATGAGGATGACCTCGACAAGATAGGGAGCATAGCGAGAAAGCTAAGTGCCCTGGAGGAAAAGGTAGAAGAGAAGGCGGGAGCGAAGAAGCACACCCTGGCCAAATCACCCTTTTCAGCCAGGGTATATGCACAAAACTTGAGGCGGAAGGTCAAGCTGGATGTGGAGAAATTCACTGGAAAGGAGGATCCAAATATCCACCTTGACACCTTCCATAATGCAGCGCAAATGGCCGGGTGTACTGATGCTGATGAATGCCTACTCTTCTTCTCATCCTTGAGAGGGAGGCCAGTGGAATGGTTTAACAGCCTTCCACATGGTAAGATCGGGTCCTTTGAAAAACTTGCTGAGATTTTTTGCAAGAAGTACGAGGACAACTGCATCAAAAGGAAGAAGTTCACCTACCTTAACACGGTAGGGCAGAGGGAGAAGGAGTCCTTGACTCAGTTCTTAACTCGCTGGAGGGACGAGGTCGACAAAGTAGAAGAGATGGACGACAAGACTGTAACACCCTAATTTGTCCAGGTCTACAGCCCCTTTCAGATTAAAGTATTAACTTGGTAATCGTAAAAATTTAAAACATTTCAAACACTTTTATTTATCACAATAATATTTTTCATAATATAAACAGTACGGAGTTTTCAATATTGCGGAAGCTTAACAATCATAATCACAAACATAATTTATTTATGTTCTTTAATTCAAAACCATCACATCCATTCCGACAATCTCGCCTCCGTCTGCCTCCAGGATCACGTCACTTCATTAACCTGCGTGTAGCAAATAAAACATACTACACGCTCAGCGTTGAAGCTGAGTAAGCATATCTAATGCATCGAACATCCATATAAACTGAATCTAAATTCATAATCAAATCATTTGATATCATGCACATAATGTTCAGTTTAGATCATCAATAATTATTAAAAATTATTCATCATGCATTATTCAACATTTATATTCACATTCAATGTTCATCAGTCATTCATAATAATTGCAATATTCAATTCAATATTCATCATTCAATATTTACTCATATTCAATATTCAATATTCAACATTCAACAATATCCTTAAACTATTCTTAGTCTAAGGCCACATCATTTTATATTCAGCTCTTAGCTATTCCAAGTCTAAGGCAGTAATTCTAACCAGGCCCTTAAACTATAAATAGTTTAATGCAGAACACACGAATCGATAATCCACCCTATGAGTCATGTGGATTACGTACCAACCGAACAATGATTTGTCGGGTGGGTGATATCCGGTCTGGATCCCGTACGTACGTTTTAACCCCGAATTATGAATTGGTCAAGGAGGTATATCTTAGAGTTCTTCTAGATATCCTTAATAATCATCATCAATATATAAGTGGGTATATCTTAGAGTTCTTCTAGATATCCTTAATAATATACACCGTTTTCATGATCACCATTATATTCATTTTTAATCATGATTTAATCATCAATAATCATTCTAATAATTAGGTTTATCATTCATAATTGGCCACAATAATAATTCATCATAATGATCATTCAACATAACATTTAATAACAATTAATGGCCTAGTCTCGAGTGTTAGCACCCGAACTTACCGTCATGCATCACATAATGTTTTATATGCCAAAAAAAATCATTTTTATTGTACAAACTCATATTTATATTGTTCATAATTAATTGATATCAAAAATATGATTTTAGAGCATATTTTCAGGATCTGGACTTTAAGAAAAATCGATTATTTCATTTAAAATGACCAATTAAATTATAAAATCGATTTATATAATTAAAATAATCTATTAATTCATAAAAATCGATTTTTTCTTGAAAAATAATCCATTAAATCAATAAAATCGATTTTTGCTTGAAAAATAATCCATTAATGAGTAAAAATCGATTTTTGCTTTAGGAATAATCGATTAAATATTAAAAATCGATTTGGTCTTTATGAATAATCGATTTATTCTTGATAAATGGGTACTGACTTCAAACATCTCGTCTGAACAAAGTTTTAATCGATTTTTAGGAAGATAATAATCGATTTTTGGTCACTGTTCATCGTCTTCTTCCTTCGGTCCATTTTCGGAAATACCAATTTTAGTTACCAAACTTCAATTAAACTATATAGAAATGTTCTCCAAGGTTCATAGATCATTTTAGGATCATCAAAACATATTTTTAACAGCAAATTCAAGGTTTATGATTCTTGGTTCTTCAAACACGTCGAACACAAAACTCAACCAAATGACCATTTATGAACGTAAAAACAACCTATATGAACATTCTAATCTTTAGATATATCTACGGGCTTACCTCGAAGCTAAATGGAGGTTTTGAAGATTTTCCGACGAAACTTCTAGTGACGATAGCTCTCAACTCCGATGACCTCACACCAAATTGACAACACCACATCATTCCTCGCACTCTCAGGAGCATAATAGGAGAAAGTATTACGGAGATTGGTGGAGAAATGAAGGATTTAACCATGCCTTATATAGGAGAGAATGGAAGGAAGAGGCCAGGGGAGTTGCTATTCGTGATGTAATTGATCGGCTAGTGCGCCTGGCTGCGATTCTGAATGATTTTAAACGCAAGTCCCTGATTGGGACCAATTTTGGTTCCAGTCGGGGTACACTTTTTGGTCCAACTTTCTCCGAATTGAATTCCGTTTGCACCGTTGCGATCGGATAGTTAAACTCTATCCAACGATATAATTTTTATATTTATTTGTAACACTTTTTCCGATCATATTTTTTTGGGTGTTTGACTTTGACAGAATCAAAATTGGCTTAATTGACCTTTCTTATAAAAGGTTCTCTCATTTAATTCATATCAGTTATTCTCATGATTTATTTTAAGAAATCATTTCAATATTTATATTCTAAACAATTTCTTTATTTACTCTTGATTTGGGTCTGTACTCAGGTTCCAATCAAGACCACACAAATAGTCCACATACTGGATTTATCTCTATGAGATTTATCCTAAATACGTTTATTGGATGTCAATACATATTTTATTTCAGCCCAAAGCCCAACAACAATTTATTTTAATCAAAACAAATTTTGTTTAATTGAATATTTAATTCAATAAATTTTAGGGTATATTTTGGGGCGTTACAAAGACGGTCATGTCTTTGCTGATGAATGCCTTTCGGTCGGGTGACCTCTACACTGAATTTTGTAGAAGGCCACCCTCCTCTTATCAGGAAGCCTACAATACAGCATGGGAGTATGCCGAGGCGGAATTCCTAAACAAGAGCAAGCGGGAACTGGAGGAAGGCTATACAAAGGTGAAAACTGATAAGCCGAAGAAGGATGACCAGATGGGAGGGTCCAAGCCGAGGGCCACATATGATGGGTTTGTTCATCAAATAAGGGATAAGAAGAAAGGAGAACAACCCAAGCGGCCTTGGACAGAGAAGTGGTGCACCTACCACCAATCTGACTCTCACAACACGACAGATTGCCGGAATGTGAGGGTTATTTTCAGGGAGATGACCTTGAAAGGGGAATTGGGTGAAATATTCGTTACGGGGCTTGAGAAAGACCCATAGGCGAGTACTTGAATCCACCCACATGAATATGATCATGGAAAGAAGAGAGGGTGGATAAGATGTGGTCAAGATTACTAAGCTTGCTGTAGACGGATCAGTCTTGATGTCTAGGACCTGGACCGTTGCATGGGCTGATAGCAAAAAAAAAAGAAACCCTTGAGATAGGGGCCTTGATGTTGAGGTATCGCCTTGACACAGGCTGGATCCGGAAGAGGATTCGCATCCATACTTACATGGATCCCTACCGAATTTTTGGTCGGGAACGGTTAGAAAAGATGCCAAAAAAAGTCTTGTATGGACGTGCAAGATTGGATGAGGGCTGGTTCTCACCGGCATACCCCCATGTGGGAAGATTAGGTTGGCTAGGTCAACCTAATAATTAGAGAATGGCACATTAAATGACTTAAAACCTGGAAGAGGGGCCCTGGAAGAAGGGTGTTGCCTGGAAGAAGGCTGGACCTTGGAGAGGGTTCACGATCATAGGACATGGTCAAAATCTCCAAAGATGGGTCAGGTCTTGATGTTGAGACTTGAAGAAAAACTATTTCGAAATATTCATTCGAAGTTCGATCAAGGTCGGTGTTGAAAATGACATGCAGGCCAGATGGATATAAGAAAAAGGGCATGGTCGAAAAGTGACCGGTCACTTTTTTAACGTTCTAGATTGACAGAAAAAGACAGACGAAAAATTTTAAAAATGACCGGTCAACTTTGAAAAAAGTGACCGGTCACTTTTTAATTTTCGGATTTGATGAAATCAGACAAGTTCGGAAAAACTTATTTTTGACCGGTCACATTTTGACCCGGCACTTGGACAGAAATTTGAGGCAAGACTGGTGACATTACATGACCAAACCATTGGGATTGGACCAGGACGAAATTCAACCTAGACGTCTACTACATTTCAACCTGGAAGTAAACTGGATCAGAAGACAAGTCGAGCACAAGGTGACCTGGATATTTTCAAGTCTGGAGACCAGGACATGAGATGACCTGGACGTTCTTAAAATGTTTCTTAAGGGCATGAAATGACCTGGACGCTTTCAAGACTTGCACTTGACCAGGACATGAGATGACCCGGACATTTTCAAGACTTGCACTTGACCAAGACATGAGATGACCCAGATGTTTTCAAGACTTGAACTTGACGAGGACTTGAGATGACCCGGACATTTTCAAGACTTGCACTTGGCGAGGACATGAGATGACCCGGACATTTTCAGAACTTGCACAAAGTGCCCTGGACGTTTTAAGGAGTTGATGAGAATAAAAGTTTAGACCAGGACGTTTCCAAGACCTACTAGACCTGGACGTCCTTCAAAAGTTTCAACCAATAAAAGTTTCAACAGAGCCTACTAGACCTGGATGTTTTCAAGACCAGGACATGAGATGACCTGGACATTCTTGAAATAATTCCATAGAGGGTGACCAAGCAAGAAAACAACCATGCAAGTCTAACCAGTCAACTTCAAAGGGGGACTAGGCAAGAAAATAACCATGCAAGAAACTTAACCATTCAAGAAGTTCAACCAGGAACAAAGAAATGCGACCAGACCATGAAAGCCCCCTTAATTGGTGACCATTCCATTTGAAGAGGGTCGGCCTTCTTTGTCGTAGAACCCTCCCGAGAACTCTTATATAAACCCTTCCACTCTTGGGACAACCCAGTTATCATATGAGATTTGCATCATATAACCGGGTACTTGACCGGTTACTCTTGAAGGGGTGTGCACCGGGCACTTGACCGGGTACTCTAGGAGGACTTACGTTGCAGAAGACCGGTTAATTATTTAGAATTTACATTTGGATTTCCCAATAATTCAAACGTGACAGGTCCGAGAGGAAGACTTGATGATTACAAAAGTGACAGGTCCGAGAGGAAGGCTTGATAATTTCAAAAGTGATAGGTCTGAGAAGAAGACTTGATGATTACCAAAGTGCCAGGTCTGATGAACCCCAAAGCGCCAGGTCTGATGAACTCCAAAGTGCCAGGTCTGATGAACTCCAAAGTGCCAGGTCTGATGA